GACTTTCAGGTATCGTAAGAAGTATGAGAGCAAAGTGAGTAAATCTGAGCCTGAGCAAATGTGTGAAGAGTTGGGTTTCTCTTTGGGAGAGCAGTAGTGTGTGCTGCATTAGGGATGCTGCCCTAGATGCATGCATCTGAGAAAATAACACCAGCGTGGGAACAAACTGAGAGTGGTTTATGTCAACACCATAACCCTGCAGAGTTTGGCAACATGTTCTAGTACTGGGGATGGGAACGAGGGCGGTGGCTCACAGTCTCTTGCTCAGCAAATGTATGAAGCTTGTGGGAATGAAATAGAGTGTCAGCTTCAGCACTGGTTAATGCCGTAATGCAGGGATCCTGTCAGACAGGAGGAAGGGAAGTGCACAGGGAAGGAGGCTTGCTCTTCCTTGCTGCAGTGTCAGTCTTGGGCAGTTGGTGGTGAGAAAGGACTCAAATCCCTTTAGAGGAAAGCCAGGACTTTGCCAAAGTCCTCTCTTCCCGTGGCTGCAGCTCCAGGAGCAGAGCTAACCTATGCCCAGCTGCTTTTTGATGCTCTTCCCTACCCCTAAAGCTGCTCTTTGCAGCACCCCTTGATGCCTTTCATTGGTTTTGTTTTGTTTTTCAGCACTGTGGATGAAGTCTGGAGCCTTCACCATGAAATTGAGGTAAAGGATAGCAATTTGGAGTTAGACAGTTTTTGGTTTATTTCTTCTTGGGAAGAGGCAGGTTCAGCACCCCCCAAGGTCAGGAGATGATCAAGTCACTGGTGATGTGAGCTAGGAACATATGTCACTCCTCAGTGGATACCACTTGGATGGGCAAGTTCTCAGCACATTTAAAGGCTTGGGACCACACGTAGACACATTCATCATCCCAAATCAGACCTGAATTTTTAACCCTTGCGCTGAAAACATAGGCCAGCGGTTGCAGCAGACTTGCCTTTATTTCCCCTCTAGTTTCTTCAAGACCCATGTCCTTGTCCCAGCTTCCCACATGCCCCTGCACTCAAATCTTTTCCCACCTACAGTTTTAGCAGGGGGGAGGGTACTTTGTGCGCTGGGAGGGACATGGCCAGGCAGCAAAAGGTTGCTGGGTTTTAGCAGGATCAGGCCTGATGTAGCTCACCCCAAAACTGATGGATACTCCTGGGGAAGGGCCAAGAGCCTGGCTGGGCACCCCAGGAGAGCCTCAGCCAGCAGCCATGGGACAGCACCTCCACCCCACTGACCACCAGTGCATTTCCTCCTCAGGAGTTTTGCCACCAGTTCATCGCCCAGTGGAAAAAGCTGAATCTGGATGTCATGCTTTGTCCCATGCTTGGCCCAGCTCTCAGCATCGGCTACCCTGCGAAGCTCTCAGGTAGGACTGCTGACGGGGGACCTTTGCCTTCAGCATGCCCCTGTGCGGCACTCCACCAGTATCCATGGGAAACATTCCTCCTCCTCCTCCCTGCACCCCCAAGGCACTGGCCAGCGGTGGGAAAAGTTCAGCTCTTGGGGCAGCTGCAGCTCCAGCCCGTGGGGGACACCCAGGACAAGTCCCCCAGTGTCTGTGGGAGCCAGGGGACAGGTTTCCATCCCGCAGCCCTTGAGTACCCAGGGCAAGCACCCCGTTAGCTGGAAGGTCATGTACACAGAGGGGGGTGAAGGCTTTCCCTGCGCGGGGCTGGCACTGGGAGCTGCTCCTCTCCCCCAGTGGCAGTCAGCTACACCATGCTCTACAACGCCTTGGACTTCCCTGCCGGTGTGGTCCCCGTCACGATGGTGACGGATGAGGACGAGGAGGAGCTGAAGAGCTACCAGGGGTACTTTCGAGACTGGTGGGACCGGAACCTGGCAAAGGTAAGTGGCGCCAGGTTCCCCAGGGGCACGAACATCCCCGTCCCTTCCCCTGGACATCCCTCTGCCCTCTCCTCCTCTGTTTGTGCCACAGGCTTTTCATGGCAGTGTGGGGCTGCCTGTGGCTGTGCAGTGCGTGGCCTTGCCGTGGCAAGAGGAGCTGTGCCTCCGGTTCATGAAGGAGGTGGAGACACTCATCTTGAAGAAAAACAGGTTCATCTGAGTCCCGTGTGCTCGCCCAGAGCAGGATCCCAGGTCACATCAGCACCAATCACCCTTTGGTCTGAATCGCCCGCAGGACTCGTGTTCCCCTCCACAAGGATGCGGTGATGGCTGGGCTGGCTGCTGGCTTTGGGGTGCAAGGGGAAAGCCAGGCGAGCTCTGCAGTGGTGGAGCACTTCCAATCACTGTCCTAATACAGTATTTTTTGTTATCTGAGAGTCTCATGTCAGGTGTGTGTTTGTGTGTGGGGTTGGGCTGGATTTTAATAACCCTCTAACACCTCCTAGGGAAGTGCAAGAACATGATCTTTCTCTTACAAATGGGAATATTGAGGCACGGGGACTGGTTTTGTCTAAGACGTTCAGACTCCTACTCAGAGTGCTGTAGGAAGAGGGATTTTCCCCTCCATTCTCAGCTCCCTGAAGACAAAATCTGGTGGTTTCCCTGACACAGATGAGCAATCCAAGGTCAAAGCTGCGCCTGCCTGCACGCGCTGGCAAGCAGGGAGGGAGCTGGACCGCTTCCCACAGCACAGAGCTGCTGGCATCCTGCATGCCACGGAGGGGAAATCTGGAGTGACTATTCACTGCCATCTCCTTCAGACACCTGCTCCTGCTGTCCCCAGAGCAGTGAAGTGCTTCAGCTCACGGTGTTGCACGTATAAAGCAGCGTGCCAGTGTCAGACGGCCAGCTGGACAGCCTGCGCTGCACACCCCCTCCCGTTAGGCGAGGGGCCACGCCAGATTTTCCAGTGGGGCTTCCCAGCCCCTAGCAGTTGCCGACATCAGGATTGGCAGTGCCGGCTGCTCCCGGCAGGTTTCCAAGGGTGGCCCAGAAAGGGATAGTGCAATGCAAAGGCATTTTCCCAATGCAGCAATGTGACAAGCGGATTGTAACAAAGCTCTGGCAGGATTTGTGTTTGTTTTTTTAATGTACTATTGTTGTTTAAACCAGAGTCATGCAGCAGCATGGGGTCTTTTCAAGGGCTGGGCAGAGGTTTATCCCAGCCTAGGAGAAAGCAGCCCTCAGGACCATGATTCTTTATCAGCAAGCTTTGGAAACAGGAGTGAGGGAGCTCCAGGCATCCCAGCACTGAATGCTATGTAAAGCCAAATCCCAGGAGAGCTCGGGTGGGTTTTTTCACCAGTTGCAGGTGCTCCCTGCCTACACAGAAAATGCTGGATGAGGTTTATCTGTTTACATTCTAAAATTCAAGCCTGGATGAGCTTCTCCCACTAGAGGCAGTGCCATATGCACCCATCCTCCCAGAGAGCTGGGCACTGCATGGCTCTGTTGGTTTAACCGCTCTCTCCTTGGCATGGAGTTGGGCAGGGTGCAGGAGTCCAAGTGATTGAGATGCCAGTGGACCTGAACCAGTAAACACTCCTCCCTGGAAGTCCTGAGCGAAGACCTCCAAGGAGCCGTGCCCATTGCCAGGGGACACAGCACCGGGCAGCACCAAAGCTGTTGTCTGGCTCTGGAGACTTGAGGTTGCCGAAACGGGCCAGCTGCAGGCTGCTCCCAGCCCAGCCTGGACAGAGGGAGGCCGGTGTGAACGGCAGCACTGAAGCTTAAGGCTGGGATGGGGCAATGAAGACCACGTCCCCACAGTCAGTGGGTAGAAGTTGGTGACATCCACATTGGGTTGTTTGGCTCTTCTTGCTCTCCGTCCTGGCTGAACAGGGATAATCCTTCTCACCTTCCCAGTCGGCAGCCTATTTCTCTACAATGTCTTGCTTCTTCCCCAAGCTCCCTCTTTGCTGCCACAGGAATAATCCCACAGATTATGGTTTACAGTAACAGGCCAGGTAACATGATAGCAGGACAATCACTGTCTTTCAGTCCCCAGGCAAGATCTCTACCAGAGAGCAATAATTCCCTGGATGTAGCCTCCTTACAAGCTCTGCTACCCTACTGCCTGGAGCAGAGCCAGCATCTCTCCAGATATAGCAATGTTGCCTTGCATCTTGGCAATGAACTTTCAGAGGCATCCCCTGTTCCTTCCCCATGGGCTTGCAGACCCTTGAGGTTTCAGAGAAGCTTAGTTTTTCCAGCCTCTCCTTTCTGTACTAAGCCACAGGAGAATCCTGTGGATGGGGAGCACCTGTGGCAAGGGGCAGCTCCTGGGGCTACTAAGGCTACATGGTCCAGCTCCTTTGCCTTGTGCTGGCTGCAAGATGACCTGGGAACTGAGGAGCAGATAGGATGCTCAGTCCATCAGAGGGGATTTCCCCAAAGTGCTCACCTCCTGATCAGGGTTTCCAAAAGGCTTTTCAAAGAGGCTTGGCTTGAAAATGACACAAAGCAGTCACACTCCTTGAAGGCATCTTCAGATAGTTCCTTCCACACCACCTTTCCAGAGTCATTGTGTCCTGCTTGCACCTTCATACCCTTGGTTCTCCTGAGCTCCCTCCTCTCCAGTAGATGCAGTTTCCCTCCCTGTGCCGGGTTCCCCAGGACACACAGAGATGCATTGTCCCAGGTTTAAAGGGCTGCACATGCTGCTGCCAGAGGGACGGAGGTGATGGCCGAGCCCCCCTAGTTAATGGGCTTAAGTGCTAATTAATTATTAGATGTGGGTGTACTAGGGATAGCCCAGACCTGGGGTTTGCAGACATTCAGCTTTGTCAATCAGCTCTGTCCCCTGCATGTAGCCAGGTACAGCAGCAGCCAGGGGCTTGGGGACACACAGCCTTGGGGGACACCCCCCAAGACCCATGTGAGCTGAGCGTGCTGCTTTGCAGCCTGACCCATGATGCTTCTCTGGCAGGGGGACCCTTTCAAAGTCCATGGTCTAAAAAGTCCATTCCTGGACTTTGTTAATGCAGCTCTCCTTCGGAGCTATCTTGCACAGCAGGCAACCGAATAGTCTGCATTCATCAGCCTTCCTTCTGAGGAGGTGGGGGGCCCAGGTGTCTGTAGGTGGACCAGAACAGGAAGGACTGGGAGAGAAATCATGACCCAAGACCGACTGTGGCAGGTCCTAGATCCATTGTGGGGAGACCCTCGCACCCTCTCGGCTCTGCTCTGCACTTCGGCTGCAGCCATTGGGCTACTGAAATGGCTGGGACGGAGGCAGGTCCAGCAGAAGATGGAGGAGGCGAGAAGGGCCCGGGATCTGGCCCTGGAGCGAATGGAGAAGGCAGCTCGCAGGTTTAAGCAAGAGGTAATTTGGGGGAAAATGTGTATGGGAGGAAGGGATTGTGTTTTGGGTAACCAAAGAAGTGGGGGAGTGCTGATCGATCTGTCTTTGAATGGTGGTTAGGGCACATGCACATTTTGGATCATCACCAATTTTTTTTGAGGGTCACCACTCTCCATTGTCACAAAAAAACTTCCTGAAAAGACAACCTAAAGGAAGTATTTCTTAATACAGACCTGTTGAGGGAATCCTGAGGATGAAAATGGATTGGGGTTTGGGACCCTCTGAATCAGGTCACTGCCCCAGACCTCCCTGTGCCCTTTCTTCCTCATCCGTCCCCAGAGCCAAGCCTTTCCTCTCCATCCTCCTCACCTCTGCTCCTCCATAGGGACCTGTCTGCCCCATCATCCTCAAAGTACGGCCGGGGGGCTTCACATCCCTTCAACATCTTCACATCGGTGACCAAAAGCCATTTCCTCCTGCCCATGTGCAGGTAAAGAAGCACCTGGATTTTAGGAGGTCAGGTCCTTGGATTTGGGATTTGTCTTAAACCCATAATAAATACCTACTGCTCTTCTTCTCTTGGCTGGGAGGTTGCAAACAGCCCACACGCTTTTTTTGCCCTGTGTTAATGATAAATTTTGTAAAACTTTAGCTGGTTGAATTGCCACTCAACACGTCGTCTATGAGTTAGAAGGGGGGTGAAGGCCTGTGGGAGAGTAAACAGACAGGTCAAACCTCTCTTACAGGTTCATGCAACTCTCCAGTCAAGAGGCAATTTTCTGCCTGTTTTGGTTTTGTTTCTATGAGACAAGACTCAGCAAATTCCCTGTCAGCAAATTCCCCACTCCAGCACACACAGTGCTATGTGGGAGGTCTGTATTTCTACAGGGAATGTCTCCCAAGATTCTCCATTCAAGGTCATTGCTGGGCATATGTTAGAAATGGGTATTCTCAGCCTTTTCTGTCATTTTTCTCCCCTCTGCACCCAATTCCCTACCCTTTGCAGAACCCAGGCACCCAGACTGCATATGTCCTCTCGCTGACGATGGTGGAGCTGGCAGAGAAGCTGAAGGAGGGGTCCCTGTCCCCAGAAAGTGTCCTCTGCTCCTACATGGGCAAAGTGAGTGGTACCTCCAGCATGGGGGAGATGCTGTGGGGCTCTTCTGCAGTGGGGGCTTTCAAATTAAAAACCAGCTCATTTGCTAAGAGAACCGGCAATGCTGGAGATCACAATTTGTTGATACTGTGATGTCTGAAGGGTGGTTTATGGGCAAATAAGTATGGCAGAGATCCAAGGCAAAAAATTATCCCAGAAAGAAACATCTAAAATGTATACGTAAGGTCTGAATAATGAATGCTGGAGGTTTGAGGAGATTGAATTTTCGGCTTGAAAACTCAATTTAAATAGTGTTTTCCTCCTTCCATTCGTTCATCTGTCTTGCTGCTCTTCTCTGCTCTGGAGAGGCTTTGGAGGTAACTCGGGAGGTGAACTGTGTGGTGGACTTCATTCATGGCTGTGAGGATCAGCTCCAGAAACTGAAGAAGCAGAAGGAGAAGGGGCTGCTCTACGGCATTCCCGTCAGCATCAAGGAGCACATTAACTGCAAGGTACATCCCTAATTCCCCTGCCTCTTGCCCTGGGGCTGGGAACAGGCCAGGATGTCCCCCCCTCATCAGGACTGGGTAAGAGTTCCCTCAGACAACGATGTTCCGGACCAAATATTGTGGGACCAGCAAACCTGCCTTTCTTCTGATGAAAATTTTGTTTTCTGCAGAAATTTCTAACCTGCTCTAACCTGGTTTTCCCTGGGGTAGTCAGGTCCTATTCTGCCCGTAAGAAAAGTTAGGTGGGAACTTTGTCACAGGAGCCATCAGGACTTATGTCTATTATTGTCACAGCTCCAAACAGCATCTCTCCTGGTACCTAAAGGGCTTTGCTTCCCATCCCCAAGGGCCATGTCTCCTCTGGAGGGATGGTGCAGTTTCTGGGCCAAGTGAAGGAAGAAGACAGCGTCATCGTCCAGGTCCTGAAGAGCCAGGGGGCAATCCCCTTTGTGAAAACCAACATCCCACAGACGATGATAAAGTAATCGCATGTCCACCTTCATGAAAATGTTAAGACCTGTGACTTTTGCTGAGAGAGGGTGGGCCCACATACGTGCACAAGCTCCCACCCTTGTCCAAGCTAATCATGCACATTGAGTTAATTGATTTCAATCTGAAATTATTTCTCTTACATTTGATGCCTCTTTGTTCTTAAATCCAGCTGTTCCAACAAATCTACTTCAAGTTGATTCTACCTCCTGGGATTAATTCTACCCTTTTAATATTCTGCCCTATCTGTTATTATTTAATTTGTTATTATCAGATATTATAATCCTTGCACAGATGCTCTGTGCCCCGTATTTATGGTTTACAGAGACAGAAGTACCTCACTCACCTGCTGATCTTTCTCTCCCCAGCTATGACTGCAGCAACCTCATCTTTGGCCAGACGCTGAACCCTCTCAACCACCAGAAGAGCCCCGGGGGCTCCTCGGGAGGGGAGGGAGCTCTGATCGCAGGAGGAGGCTCCCTCCTGGGCATTGGCTCAGATGTGGCTGGCAGCATCCGCCTGCCATCCAGCTTCTGCGGGCTGTGCGGGCTCAAACCCACAGGCAACAGGATCAGGTACATGCCAGCAGCATCCGTCCTCTTCTTCCACCTACTATGGAGGCTGCAAAGTGTCCCACACAGTGTATCAAGCTTTGCAGTAGTGTCAGTGGTTTCCTACAGGCTTAAGTTGGCACCCTAACCTGCCTGTCTCCTAGTATCACCTGGGCTAAGGGCTCTGTTAATGACGTGGTGATCTCCATCTTCTAGCACAGCAAAGACTTGTTCAACTTTTGACAGCCCTGGCCAGGATGCTGAAAGCAAACACTACAGAGTCATCTCCTTTTCAGATGTTTTCCATCCCTTGCTTTGCTTGTAAGAATTCGGTTTATCAGAGGTGGTTTGTTCACAGATGAGGCATTAGAAGCACCAGGGAAAGGAGGTGCTAAAAACTATCTAGCCTCTAGCAACTTAGAGCCCATGGAAGTCTTCCTAGCCTACAAAGCATCAAGTTTTTGCAGGACCTTTTGCCCCCCTAGATGTTGACTGGGGGCAAATGGAAAGCCTGCAATGCTGCATGGTGACTTACCTTAGAGCAAGAGCTGCTGCTAATCTGCTTCTCCTGTTACGTTCCTAGCAAACTGGGTGTGATTTCTCCTCTCGTAGGAATTAAATCAGGTAAGTCCATCCAGATAACATTACTCCTGTCAAGCCTTTGCTTCTTACATCTCCTCCTAGTGCTGAAATGCCAGCAAATGTGCTTGCTCAGTTATGTGTCTCATGACCAGTCAAAACTGGGGATCTATTAGACCAGGACCTGCCTTGTGCTGTAATGTTTTTACACCATTTATTCTGTTCTGGATGGTGGTAGGTGTTAGCTGAATCTGTGCAGAGTTGAAGCAATACCCATTCAGGCAGTGCAATGCGCTGCAGTGAGAAATGTGAGATGTGCATCCCAAAGGCCTGGGACATTTCACTGGAAATGCTTCCAGGAGACTCTGCTGGCTTCGGCTGCTGCCAGGCAGCATTGCTGTTGGCAGGAGGGCTGCAGTCCTCACTCCTTTTGAGCAGACTTTGTGCCTGCAGAAGCCTGGCCCAGGTCAGCCTCTGCTCTGAGACTTACAGATTGTCCTTGCTGGAGTTCCTTGCTCACTTCTTGCACGTTAAACCTGTTCCCCATTCCTCTTCCCTGGCCTGACTGAAACTCTTCCATGCTTACCAGTAACTATGAGACAGCACCAGCCCATCTACCTGCAGTGACAGGACCTTTGTGCTTGCAGTGACAGGGGTGCTGGGACCGATGGCGAGAGATGTGGACAGCCTGGCCCTTTGCATGAAGGCGCTGCTCTGTGAGGAGATGTTCCAGCTGGACCCCACTGTGCCCCGCCTCCCCTTTGATGAGGAGGTAAGGCTCAGAGGCAACCTCATGCCTCCATTTGCCCAGCAACAAAGTGAGATCGTGGGAGATTCCTGTCTGGTTTCATGTCCCAAGACAGTGAAGGACCCAGGGATGCCCATGTCCTTCTGAACAGAGGGCAGCCATCACAAGCCAATGCCAGAAGCAGCCACACAGCAGGTTGATCGGACACTGTTGGCTTGTCCTGATGAGATGTGAGAGATCCTGACCCCTTCCCTTCCCAGCAATGTTCAGAACAAGCTTGTTGGCTCCATCCTGGACAAGACCCTAAAGGAGCTGATTTCTCCTGATCAGAGGAATTCACCCTGCACACCTTTAATTAGAAAGCCTGACCTAAGAAATCATTGCCCTTTGCCATTAGCTCTCTGCTTCTACCATCTGATTGTGTCTTTCTGGCTCAGATCCTGGGATCTTTCAGTTGTTCCTGACACTGTCTGTAGCCAGGCATCCCAGGCGTGTGGTCTGTACAGGGGCTGTCACACATGCTATCTCAAAGCTGGGACATGTTCACACAGCAGGAAGCGGTGTCAGACCATACCAAGTACCACTGCTGCAGACCTGTGTTCTGGACAACACTGCTTTCCACCAGCCCTATTACTCCCATCATGCCTCCAACCCAGGAGACCTCAGCTGCTGGCTCCCTGAGCCCTGGGAATGGTCCAGTCTCGTACATCTCGTGTGTGCAAGTGATGGCTCCTCTTCTCACAGGTTTACACCAGTTCAAGGCCACTTCGGATTGGGTATTATGAAGGAGATGGCTACTTCATGCCCTCACCCAGCATGAAACGGGCCATCCAGCAGACCAGAAAGCTCCTCCAGGATGCAGGGCATACGGTGAGTTTTCATGCCTGGGGTTGCCTGGAGCTGTTATCCTGCTCCTTACAGAGATCGAACAAGTCACTGCTCATCTCTTTTGCTGCCCATGAAATAGAGACCATCCTTCCCTGCTGCACGGATCACAAAGAGGAAGGCAAATGCAATAGTTTGTTTCCCAAACCAAAGCAATCTTGCTTATGTTCCTGGCCTAGCAGACGGGAGAATCACCTTCAGATATCTCCAAGTCACTTTTTTCTAAAGCACTGTTTTTTCCATCATGGTTGGTATTCCTATAAATATCAAACTCGCAGCAGTTTCCATGATCCCACAGCTGTTAAATGCATTTTACAGATTTCTTGGTGGGTAAGTGGGAAGGGGGTTGGTGCAGTTGAGCCCCCAGGGACCCCTTCCAGCTTAAATTATTCTGTGTTTCCACCAATGGGAATTTCTATATGGGAGCTGTTCCAATGATGCAAATTAATTAGAAATACTTGGTGTTTTGAAGATGCTAAAAATTATTCTCTAACATGGGGAAGAGCAGAGCCAGTGCCAGGTCACAGTATGTGTTAGCACCTTGGAGACAGGAAAGGACAGTGGGCAGATGCTGCTAACCTGAGTCCATTTAAAAATGAGGTCTTGCTGTCCTACAGCAGCAAGAAGGGCTGAAGCTGCCCACCACTTCCCATTCACCTCACTCCTGAGGCAGGGAGGTTCACAGAGGGCTCTAGGAATCATTCTCTTTGTTGCCTCTTGAACAGGGATGGTTTTCTTGCAGCTTGTTCCCTTTGCACCGCCCAAGATTGACTACATGGTAGATGAGCTGTTCACCAGAGGGATTTTCTCAGATGGTGCTGCCCACCTGGTAGACTGCCTGTGAGTAAAAACCCCCTTTCAGTGTGGGCATGAGACTTGGCACTGAGTAGTCAGTGGTTGCATCCAGAGTGTTTATATTCTTGTGGGTGCAAACTGAATAATGGGCAACAGAGGAGCAATTTCTGGAAGGATGAATCCAGCATGAGCAGTAGCTAGTTCATAAGAGCAGTTCACACACATGGATAATATGGTAGGGTAATAAGATATCATATACCAGCAGTGCTGTGGCAACTGGTTTTATGTGTGCAATTAGTCCATGGCACATGGGAAACATCACACGTTATAGAACTTCCTACGGAGGTGCGGTGGTTTAGCCCTGGCTAGCGGCCAGACACCCATCCAGCCACTCACTTCAAGGGGAAACATGCCCAAGGTTGTACGTGGCCCCAGCGCTGCAAAGCACTCTGGAGCCTATATGGCACTGACAACAGAGACAGTAAAGTGAGCATTTATACCTGAGCATCTAAACACCACGAGCATCTCTTGCTCAGTGTTTTGGATTGAAACAGGTGGATTTTGTCTTCTAGCAACTCCCCTCTAAGACAAACGCTGCTTTGGAAGCAGCACTGCTGTTGGGTAGCTCTGGCACGGGTGGCTTGTCCTGACTTCTCCTTCGCTCTCTGCCCTTCCAGCAAAGGAGACATCGTGGATCCCAACCTGAAACCCCAGTTCAGTATTTACAGGCTTCCTGCTCTGGTGAAAAGGACCTTGGCTATCATTTTGAAACCCATAGTAAGTGTGTGGACATGTCTTTGTTAGAGGAAATCTGCAAGGTGGGGAAGTTTCTGCCTGCAGGGAGGTAGGCTGCTCCCCTCTGGGAGTGTTTTGGTGCTTCATGTTAAGTGCCCGATGGGCTTCATAGCGAAATACAGGTAAATACACTTAGTCCCTAAACCCAGGTTGAACTTATTGAGTGGGTCTCACAGCCTTCTGTGGGCGTTTTGCACGGGGAAGTCAAAGTATGATCTGTTCTCAGGAACCCATGAGCCATACAGCTCATCTGACAATGGGCCCCAAGAGAATGGATATCACTGGAAAGGATCTAAACAGCATCCCCACATCCAGGAGATGCTCTCCAGGGATAGCATTGTGGTCTAGAGCCTTATTGGCATAGGCTGTTGTGATTAAATGTATACATTAAAGTGTGAGTAAAACCACTTCACTGGAAACCATACCTGTTCTTCAGAGCCACTTCTGCACGGACAAGAAGTGTGCCAAAAATGCAGTCACATTGTAGCCCACTATTTCAGCTGCATTGTTGTTGACTAATCCCATGTTTTTCTCTTCTCTCTACAAGTACCCACGAATCGCTCGGCTTCTTAGTGCTCACTGTGGAGTGGGGTAAGACGCACTAAGTAGCTCTAGAGGAAAGGGATGCAGAGGGATGTGTCCACCCATTCATGCAGGTAGATGCTAGCTCACTGAGCAAAGCCCTGCTATGGGGCTGGGCAGCACAGGCTGACCCAGAAGAGTACGTGCTGCCTCAGCACCACCTGGGCTTAGCACAGTGTTATCCCAGGCTAGGCAGACAGAGATTATTTTAAGAGCTCAAGGATCCCCGTTGTGGCAGGGCTAGGATGTCTCCATGCAGATCAGTGCAGAGAGATACAGGCTACTTTCCCATCAGGTGGGTGCTGGTACCCAGAGCATCATGTGCCAAGGGAATGCAGAGGTCTCTGCCTGCGGGTGCAGTGTGCTGGGGAGTACCTGCCCCCCCCTGAGAGAGGCAGAGACACACCAGGCTGGGAGCAAGTGAATTTAGAAGACTGTCATGATCTTTGTCTAGATGCTCTGACACCTAGACATGGTGGCATGCTTTTAACATAAGTTCTTTTGATGTACCTGTAAGCACGTGTGAACCCAGTGAGATCAGCCTGGTGGTGTGATAGCTTGTTCCCAGAAGGGTCCTGCGGTTTTGCAGTTTCCATAACAATGGGCTGTCTGTGCATTTTGTTAATTGTTTTCTGTTGCCACAGTCCCAAAGCTGATTAATTCTGCCACCTTTCCAGGTCTGCCAAAAACCTCTTGGATCAGCATGGAGCAGTGGAGGTAATGTGATTTTTTTTTCCCCCTTTTTTTTTTTTTTTTTCCCTTACTAAATAGAGAGATCCCTGAAGTTTCTAAGCAATTGCTTTGAGCTCTGTGATGGGTTCAGGGCTGGAAATGGATCATGTGGAAATAAAGCAGTAAGGCTTTTCTTTGAAAGCCAGGCTTTGCAAGAAGTTATAAGAGCTCAAGGCAATAGATGTCCATGTGGAGGTCTGTACTTACTGGAAGATGGGGGGAAGAAAGATTATCCTTTGTCCTGCATTTACTAAGCAGAAACGGCATTAGAACAGCCACTAAAGATGAGGCTTCATCTTTTTCTTCTTTCTGTCTCTTGGTGCAAATCCTTTGTTTCAGACATTAGGTGCTATTGTCACCAGCTAAGACCATGCTTAAACTGTCAAGCAGAGACCTTAAGAGTCAAAAATTGTGGTTGTGAACTCTTTGGCTTAGGTGGACTTCATATGAACTCAATTGGGATCAGGAACACAGGACAGGAAACGTCCTCCTGGGACAACTGAGTCCAGTGCTGCCCACAGACTGATCAGGTTCCTCTTTAAAACCAGTTCAGTTTTATGTTTTCATTTGTTTTCACTAGCCAGCTCCTCTCCTCCCTGCTCTGGTGGTTGGAAACCTTCATATTTCCCGTGCTGTTTATTCATTTCCAGTTTATCCTCATTTTATTCCTGTCCTTGAGCTAAAATAGCACCTCACCTCTCTGGTATTTCCCACTGCCTCCCTCGTCCTTCATCTGTTTATAGAGAGCAATTGTATCCCGTTTCAGCTGGTGGTTTGCCAGGCTGAAGCTGTTTTGGTGCCCTCCCACAAGGCAGGGTCCGTGTTCCCTGGGACACCCTCGCAACCCTCCCTGAGATGAAACGTGCCCCCAGACAGCATCATGCAGCCTCCGTCGGTGCCGGGCACTCGATGGATGTGCACACTCCCTTGCAGCAGGTCTCACAGATTATAGGGCAGGGGAAAAATTCCCACAAACCTCCCTGCTCACGGGGCTGATGGCAATGTTTGGAAGGAAATGGGTTTGGGGTTTGTTTTGGGTTTTTGGGGTTTTTTTAGGTGAAAACAAATTGATCTCCCCCAACAAAAAATCCCAACCAAAAAGAAAACTCCTAAAATGGTTTGCTGGCCTCAGAGGTATTTTGAATTGTTTTTCTTCAGTGAAACCACATTCACATATTTTGGTCGACTGCAAACAAGAGCTGATTCAAAAGTTTTGGCTAGTGAGCAGCTTTTCTCTCATAAAAATTAAAAAAAAAAAAAAAAATCAGGTTATCTACCATGACCGTGTTTCCTGGAAACCCATTTCACCTGTTGAACTTTCGCTAGGATCTCAGACTGCAGATGGAAATTGAGGTCAGACTGAAAAATAGCCTCGTGGCTGGGGCTTTCATGAGAGATGTGGAAGACTCTTGTACAGAAAACTTGGAGTGAGGGAGTTATGCAGAACAGGGGCTGGACCTCAGGACAAATGTGTCCCTGTAACCAGAATCTGGCTGGAGAAGCAGCCATACTGTGGTCCATCCATGTCTATTTACTAAGACGAAGTGGAACAGCTCTTTGAGGATGGGTTCATTCATTGCCTGATGTTCAGCAAAGCTGTGGTAAACCAGGCTGCAAATCTAGATCTCTCTTGGATCTACAGTACAAGCCTGAAGCTGCGCCTCCTGCATGGTGAGGGCAAGACCTCAGGCTTGCCCAGCTGCCCCTTGCTGCTGCTTTTTCTTATCTGTATCCTGATGTAGAATCACAGAATGATTTGGGTTGGAAGGGACCTTAAAGATCATCTAGTTCCAACCCCCCTGCCATGGGCAGGGACACTTCCCACTAGCCCAGGTTGCTCAAAGCCTCATCCAGCCTGGCCTTGAACCCCTCCAGGCATGGGTCAGAATGCAAGAAGGTTTTGTGAAAATATTTTGAATTCATGTCTTCTAGATTCTTCTGCCAAAATAACCAAAGCTTTTAGGAAATTTGACTTTTTAGTCAGCTAGACAGCTCAGATTTTATTTTATTTTTCAGCTGTATCCAGGAAGGTTTTTTTTTCTTCCTTTTCCCTTGCTGTAGGCATTGATCTGCCACTGCTGTCCAACCAACATTGTTTGTCATCTCCTCTGTCTCAGGCTTACCGCACTGAGTTCATTGCTAAATGGAGGAAGCTCAGGCTGGATGTGATTCTTTGTCCCATGCTGGGGCCAGCCTTTAACCACGGCTACGCTGGGAAGCTATTTGGTAATCTACATTGAGGTGTCTCTGGGTGCATCCATGGTGGTGGTTGTGGGAAGAGCTGGAGCAAGATATTTTGGTCCCTTGGACATTCCCCAAACCATGTGTGGTGGCCTGGTCTTTGGGGAAGAAAGCAAAGGAGAGGTCTCCTCTGGGTGGGGCTTCTCATGCCCCCCCCCCCTCACCTGAGCTGCAGGTGTTTGGATTATTATGGGGCAGCATTTAGTGGCACATCTCTCCCAGACATCATGGATGAGTTTTCCCTGCATCTTCTGTCCTGTAGGAAGCCCAAGAGATACTCTTGCAGCAGAGAGTGGCTGTGAGGATAGCTGTCAGAGGGGTGGCAGACCTTGGTGCAAGGCCAGGCTTTTCCGAATGCGGCCATCTTACATTTCCCAAGACTTTGCAAATAGCAGAAAGGCTTATTGCCTGTGACTTGCATAAAAAATTGCCTTTTTCTAGTGTCCAGTGAACAGTCAGGGTCCTCCATCTCTCTAGCAATGGCCCTTTGGGATCCAAAATCGCCAGGACAGTGTAACAGAACTGGACATCTGGATTATCTTGAAAAGATAGCTAGGATTTTTCCTTGAGGTACGGGAGACATAGATGCAGACTCTGAATCAGATCAAATACTCGTATCTGTCTCTCCCAGAGCAGACCTAACCTCTGCCCAGCTGGACTCTCTCTAGTCTCAGCAGACACGTGGGTCTCAAACCTCTCCATCAAAAGCCCCTTGGAAAGCAGAGTGTTTTCATGGTCTCTTCAGGTTCAGCAACTCCAGTCTAGTAATTCCTGCAACCCAAATTATCATCCAAAAGCCATTGTTGGCCCAGCACACTAAATTTCAACATTTTGCATGCTCTGTGTGATCTTTTCCAGCTGCTACCTCCTATACCCATTTATACAATGTCTTAAACTTCCCTGCTGGGGTGGTGCCGGTCAGCACGGTGACGAGAGCCGATGAGGAAGAACTGAAGCACTACCGAGGGCACTACGGGGACCCCTGGGATAAGAGGCTGAAAGAGGTCAGTGGGGAAAGAGCCTAAGTCTTAACAGAAGGTTATGACTGGTGCAGTGACACCTCTAGCACATTGTCCCAAGGCTTCTCTAGCTCTCCTGATGAGAGTGGGAGGCTGTTTAGTGATGCAGTTTGCATATCCCGTGGTGCTACCCTGCCTGTGGTGCAGCTAGGCTGGGTACCTCAGCCTGACAACTGTCCCCTTGCATGCCTTCCTTTGTCTTCTCTGCCTATAATGTCAAAAGACAGCCTTCTCTCGTACCTCCCCAGGTGCTCAGGTGCTCTGACTCAGCACCGTGCTTAATTTTTGCAGGCTGTGGAAGGAGCTGAGGGGCTGCCGGTGGCCGTGCAGTGCGTGGCTCTGCCGTGGCAGGAGGAGCTGTGCCTTCGCTTCATGAAGGAGGTGGAGGCACTTGCCCATGGCACAAAGAGAAATGTGTGATTTCTGGGAAGCTGCTTTCACCACAACGACTTTTCATTCCCCGCCCTTCACTCCAGCCACCTTCCACCTGATGCACAAAGCAAAGTAGATAGCGACCTGCAGGCTCACCGTTTTAATAAACTGTCAATAAATGCTGTTTAAAAAATAGTCAGCAAAAATCTCATCTCTGTCCAAATTGTCCTTCTTTGTTAAACTGAGGCAAAAAACTGCCACCATCCGGTGGCAGTGGGCTCTGTGGTTTAATTGCGCAGTGAGTTGTGGAAAGCTTAATTTTCTTTGTTTAAATGTAAGCTGTGAAAAATGGTAACTGGTCTGTCTTCACTCCTGTTCCTCATTCTTTCTTCCAGTTAAAAAAGGGAAAAGAGCAGGTAAGTGCCTCAGCCTGGCAGAGAGCAAAGCACCTTCCTGGGTAAAACTCGAGGTCCTTCTCCAGACACATTGTCCATGATGTCAATTGGCCTGGCTGCATAAATGTGGGGGGCAAAAGTGGAGAGGGGGATGCTGAGAGCAGCCTGGTGAGCTCAGAAACTGAAACCCTTTAGTAGGGCGTAGCTTTAGGCTTGCAGGAGAGTTCTTCCTCCAGCCATCCTCCGGGCTGGAGAGAGGATGTCAGCTCCTTCCCGTGCACACCAGCACAGTGCCGCTGTGTTTCAAACCCTTCCATGGCTCGTTCCCCGTAAGCCATTGGCTCAGGCTGTGCAGCCCTTGCAGCCCTGCACCGAGTGTTTGCAGAGTGTTTGTCCGGCTGCCCAGCACTGACCAAAGTCCAGGCTTTGGTCTGTCTCAGAGAATTAGGTAGAAATGCTGCTTGAGCCAAAAGGGCTTTATTTCTACTAGTTTCTCTCATCTCCAGCACAAGATCCTGGCTGTGGTCTTTGATAATTTTTCTTCCTTCCTCCTGATTTGAATGAGAATTTAAACCTGTGCTCCTCAACCCACAGAAGTTGTAAGTAGGATCCATAGAACCCACCTGGCTATGGAAAGGACCAAGGAAAATAAAGCAATACTCACAAAGGTGGGGAAGATGTGCGGTGGGCAGGAGAGAAAGCAGCCCCTGCTGTCAGAGGTGCGAGGGCTGGCGTGGGAGGTTCCCTGCCCGTCCTATGGCGGTTTATTCAGGGAGAGCCAACAGGGGCTCCTGGCCGAGCAATGTGAAAAAGTGTTGATAGAAACAGACCCTCACACCTATCAACTGATGTTCTTGGTTGTTGGCAAGGTGCAGATTAAGTAGTGGCAAGTTTCTTACCAGCTGTTAGATTCTATGAGTGTTGGTGGAGTTGGACTGAAATTGAGGAAAGTCTCATGCTTCCAATAGATATTCCAGGGTGAAATGAATCAGAAACAGGAGAGTTCCCAGAAAACATTTTTTCAGCCCTCTGAGCCAACTGGAAAAAAAACTTCTCCAGAGGGGACCAGCCCTTTTCACTGTGATTTCAGCATTTTGTGAAATGTCTTTCAAATTCTTTCAGAGCAGCATAGTTAACATACCTCCTTTTGTAAATTGTTTTGCAAAAGCACAGCAGTGCGTTTGGTTCCAAAAACATGAACATGAGATACAACTGTTGGGATTTATTCTTTGTCATTTTAATCAAAATAGAGTCAAAACTGACTTAAAAATAATTATTACCAAATTAGAGGGAAGGCAGTTTAGTTATAGAAAATTTCTGTCAAAACCCAGCCTCCTTGAGAGCTGAAAGTGTAGGATGGAGTGTGATGACAGTAAGCCAGTGCAGTTTTGCTTTGCAAGCAAAGACAGTGCAGCTCTTGCTGGGGACAGGAGCAGACTGTTTGAGTTGGTCCAACTGCCTTGTTTCTGTGATGGCCCAAAGTGAAGGAGATGTCGTGGATGCCAGATGGCACCGCTGCATCAATGTGGGGGGAAAGTGGGAAAAAACTTCCACACAATGAAATTCCAGACCAGCTGATACAGGCTGGTTCTCCTTGTGAACAGGGTCTTGGCTTTCATCTTAACTCCACTGGTGAGTTTCACATTGGACCTGGATTGATTCGGGCAAGAAAAACATTGCAGAAACGTTGCACTTGGCCTTGGTTGTTTCGTGCACATCAGCGTGATGTGGAGGAGTGAACCTGTGAGTCAGGCACATCTGTCTCCTCTGCTGCCGACTGGAGATCTGACTTGGGACATGCCTGTGCCTCCCTGACTCAGTTTCCCCATGGGGACAGTGGTCTCTTTCTCAGCAGACTTTTCCCCCGAGCACCCCTTGCTCCCCTTTGCCTAGACGTGGGTCCACACAAAGCCATCTCCTGTGACCCAGCCCATCTGCCTCTGTGCAGCTGCTCCCCTCCGTGGCAGGGACTCCTTAATTTCAGGCAGCTCTTGGAGTGCCTCAGCAGGTCTGCTCTCAGGGCACAAAACAGGATTGGCTTTTGAAACCTTCACTCTCTGCAGCCACTGCCTGCTGCACTGTCCGCTGCAGGGGCCGCGCTGTGCAGTGGCGGGAGGAGCCATGCCTCAGGTTCATGAAGGAAGCGGAGATGCTCGCACATCGATAGGGAAAGCAGCTTCCTCAGCAGCATCCGGACACCTGGAAATGCAGCTGTGCTTGCTGATAAATTTGCCCTTTGAAACACCAAGTCTGTCTGCACATAGCTGCTCTGTCTGCACATAGCTGCTCTGTCTCCATTAAACGTTCACCGAGCATCTAAAGGGCAGGATCAGAGCACAGGTCCCAGTGTGCAAGCGGATGTGAGAATCCAATGCCCTGACCCTTCCCAGCATGGGAAAAACCCTCCCACGTCTGCTTCAGCCCATCAGAGAGGTTATGTTGCTGTCACAGAAGCAAAGAGCCCACCTCTGCCTTGGGAAGACCTTGCACGGGTTCCCAGAGGCTGGGACAGGGTTGGGTATTACTGCGTGCGACACCTTTCCCAGGCACCTGCTGCCACCGGCACCATGGGGCAGGAGCTGGATCTGGATGGGCTGCAGGCATGACACCAGGATGCTGCTCTCTACTGACACAAACTGTTACAGAAAACAACAGTGAAATCTCACAACAGCTAAAGAATGGACATGACAACAGATGAAACATCAAGCATTAGAGGACTACCTAGCCCTGACGGCACAAGGCTCTTCGCCTTGCTTTCCATATCCAGTTCCACACTCTCTTGGAGCAGGATCAGGTTCTGGGCTTCTGGCCATCAAGTGCAACCTTGCAAAGTTCTGTTAATGCACAATCTAGCTGCCCCAAAACCTTTTTCAAGGTGGTACCCATAGGAGGACCCACCATCCAAAACCAGCAGAGAAAATCACAGACAGACCATGGCATTTGTTTGGGGGCTGATGCTGGCTGAGTTGTTGCCTTCAGCTCAGTGCATGGTTCTTGTGTGCTTGTAGTGAGAGGCGTCAGTGCTGGAAAGACCTCAGGCACCAGCTGTCCCCATGTCTGTTGGAAATAGCCTGCTTCTGGGCTGCAGTCCTGAGGGTTTCCACTCCTAAGGCAACACCAGCATGCTCTGGCATGGGGTGGACCAGCCTCTCCAGGTGCACGCAGACATTGTGGCAGAGCAGAGCACCATCTCACAGGCCTCCTGGAACAGCCTCTGGCCCCTGCGGGAGCAACGTGGGCTAAGGGATTTGGTGAGTGAGTGGGTGCCCCATAGCTGCACATTCTCTCCTCATCCCCTTCCCCATCCCTGTGCAGGGAACTCTTGTGATTTCAAGCTGTTTTTTTCCCTTCTCCCATTGTCCTCTCAGGCTAGGCAGGAAATAGGAGAGAAGCAATTTCCTTACTTCTTTTGTTCAGCTGATCACACAGCCCTTCCTCCCCAGCAGAGAATTTCCTGCAGTCCAGAAAGCCCCTATAAACCCATCTCCCCCAGGTTCACTGGCCAAACTTCACCTTTTCGGTTTCCTGGTCAATCATTCTCCACTGCATGCTCCATGGGAGGCATCTTTGCAAGGCTCACCTTTGGACTTACAACCTCTTTGCTGACCCCAGGCAGCGGTGCTGGGAGGAGGGACAGGTCTGCGGAGGTGTTTTGCCAAGCAACGGGGATAGCACAAAGGACACAGGCATCAAAAAGAAGTAAACTTATTTCTACTTATGTCCAAAGCGACAAAGTAATGAGGAAAATAGTACAGAGAAAATAAAGCGAGGTAAGGTAAACCAGCAAGACAACAAGCAAACTACTATAGCAAGCAGAAAGTAAGGTAATGCACCTAGTCATTACTACGTAGAGTTAGCGATAGTGATTAAGAAAGATCCATCACCAATTGTCCTATATTACCATCATCCAGATCCGCAGATGCTGGGGAGCCCGTTTACAGCAGAAGATTTGGAGAACACATCCCGGCAACTGGGAAATCTCTGGACAGTGTGTCCACCATATAGAGGAGGCTTCCAAATTTCCCTGCAAACAGTCCCTGCTTTTATACAGTTAAATAAACAATTTTCTATCTTAAGCTGTGAAAAACATCTGGTGTAGTTTTTTTTTTCTTCCTTATTAACTTTTTCCTGCGCTTGGCCAGAGCCCAATAAAAGGTTAAGAAGTAAAGGTGTCTGGTTATCTTCGATTATGTGTCCTTAAACAACACCCGTCACCGCCCTGCTACCTTCTGTCACGTAGAGGTCTGTTTGAGATAGGTTTGAGATAGGTTTATCTCTCTTTGGCAAGCGGGGCTGCCGTTACACAACTATTACCTTGCAGCAAGCGTTATGGCAATGCTCTGTAAGCGTTGCAACAAAAGCTTTTATAAATTGGCATGTATTCATAAGGTTATACATTGCCTATGTGATCAATATGATACATATTAGGTATACTGTTAGGTTGTGGGGTTCACCTAGAGGTCAGCTTTGGTTCAGGCCCTCACTGCCCAGGCCCTAGTGTTTCAGGAGGACAGGAAGGTCTCCTGCCCCTGCCTTGCTTTTCTTTCTCACTCCATCCCCAGAGACCAAAGGGCCACATCATGAACCAGCAGCAGCTCAGACAGCTCCAGTCAGAGGAGGAGGTTGATTCCTGTAAGGAATGTAGCCATGCCTACCCTCCCCATCCCGGTATTTTGTTCACAAAAATTAAAACGTAGCTATTAAGCAACTCTTATCATAAACTCCAGTAACCCTTCACTGATGGCTATGTATGAAGGTACAGTTATTACTCAAACCAAACACCTTCCCGCTGGACATTAAATGGTACCAAGTACGGAATGTTCACGCTTGCCCCTCAACCACAGCTTTTCTGTCCACGAGGGCTGGCAACAGTCCCTCGCCCTTCCACTGCTCCGAGCTCTTTCCACCACCAGATCTCAAGCATCCCAAGCGCATTTCCAACCTCACAGCAGCAGCATTCTTAGGAACCTCTTATTTCAGGACCTCAGGCCTGAAAGGTCTACCTTTCTGAAGGTAGGAGATAAGCAGCGACAGTCGCAACTCAATTATGCAGATGGTGAGATCTGGAGCAGAAAGGCTGAAATCCCCAGATGGTGTTTGTTAACCCGGACCTGCTCACGTAGGATCAAAGCAGTTAGAGCAGCATCCACACAGGGCCATTTACCCCACCCCAAGACACATGGATAAATCACTCCCTCTGATAAGACCTCTCTCTCTTTCCTAGACTAAACACCTCACTTTCAAACAATGAAATATTCAGGAGACTCCACAGCAGGTCCTTCTTATTTATTCTCTATGTCTGCAGTAAAAAAGCAAACTTCCTTTGGGACATTTTAAAAATAAAAATAAATAAAAAGCAGTTTTGCTTTCCCTGGAAATTTGGGTTATTTCCCAGTAGCCAGCAGACACAGTCTGTCACCCCTTCTACATCCGACGTAATTTGCAGAAATACATAGGTCCGAAGTTGGCTGTGAGGTGAGGCAGAACAAGCTCCCCCACCCTGCAATCCGAGAAGAAGGAAAATGTGTCCTGTAAGAGCGTCCGAAAGTGGCTCAAGTCCTCAACGTGGATACTGATGTTAAACTGGGTTTCTGCAATTTCTACCACTCTTTCGATCACATATTCGTTCTGCAGCGGGGAGAGGGAGCATGTGGAATACACCACCTCTCCTCTCGGCTTGGTAGCGAGGATCCCAGCCCTGCGGGCAAGATGAACACACACCGTCAGAGGAGGAGGAGGGCTGTGCAGGACACCAGTGTCCCCACCCACCGAAACTGCCTGAGGACTGTTTCAGACCAGGGCAATACAGGCCAAATAGATGCTTAGACTGATACAGTACTTCACATGGCAGAGACGCTGCTGGGGAGCAGCTGGAAGGAGTAATCCTGCACCCACCTCAAAGGGAGTCGGATAAGAGTACGTACAGGGGAAGAGGCTCTCGCAGTTCAAGTGCTGCCACGAGACCCTCTCATCTGTTTCCTTATTGCCCCAGCTCACAGCCAGTCCATCCAGCCTTCCCAGCGACATGGGGTGATGAAGCACCCCCAAGTCCTCCCACGTGCTGGGAGATGTGGACACCCAGGAATCCTCCCAGGCTGACTGCCAGGATCCTGGAGATCATCACACTTTTAAAAGGACAAAACTAAAGCCATCCTGTTCCTTAGACCCTCCTCCCTACCTCCTGTGACTGGTGCTGGGGATAGGAAGGAAGTTTGGTCTGACCGAGAACATATGCATCTTCTTCCACTTATTATTATTTGATGTGTACAACTATTGCCATTCCAGAAAACAACACGTGGGGACACAAAAGTAAGAAGAGGTTTCTGTGCTGGCCATGGAAAGCTGCTACTGTAACACAAACAGCACCAAAACACAGCATGGAGCTTACTCACATCAGCAGCTGCAGCTGCAGCATGGGCAGCATCTGGCGCTCCTTGGTGCGTCTCCGGTGGAAGATGTTGTTGTCCTCCTCCGTGACAGAGTGCCTGTCTGTCGTGCAGGGCACATCCACCAGGACCTGCAGTGGCAGAGGTCCTGCATCACTGCTGGGCCCAGCTCGAGCTCAGGGAGTCTCCCCCAGCACAACCAGCCCCTCGCCCAACCCTCCGCCCCTGCCACACGGCAGGAACACGAACAAAAGCAGCTCTCGGTACCTTGCCGAGCTGATGCTGCCCGAGCACAGCTGTGCACCCACAATGAACTGCAACTCGACTGTCTGCTTCTGCGTTTCAGGAATGTACAAACAGACACAGAAATGATGGATAACCAGAATTTCCCTGGAGGGGTTCAAGGCCAGGCTGGATGAGGCTTTGAGCAACCTGGGCTAGTGGAAGGTGTCCCTGCCCATGGCAGGGGTGTTGGAACTAGATGATCTTTAAGGTCCCTTCCAACCCAAATCATTCTGTGATTCTACAATTCTATGATAACATCATGCTCTCGCAAATGTCCTCATTTAATGTTTCTACTCTGTGCATGTTCCTGGCAGGCATTACTGCAGCACCTACAGCTGCAACCATGAAGGGCCAGAGCTCCTGCAGTGACACCTCCAGAGGAACAAACCCAGCTCCTGCGATGGCTGGATGTGGCTGAGAAACAGGAATTATCTAATCTTCACGTTTAACCCCTTCCAAGTGATGGGTTAGAAGAGGATTTTTAAGGGGTATTACACAGGTAAATAAAGGTACAACTTCAGATGCCCAAAAGCACCAGATCCTGCAGGAAGGGTAAAACAGGAGGAAGTATTACTCCATACGTGGCTTAGTCTTCTCTCTTTCTCAGCATTTAAGATTATGGAAAACTATACAATTACACTGTCGGACAAGCTGATGTCTTCCTCTGAAACAGGAGGAAAGTGAACTCGACGGGTTTATCTTCACTGGTTCCCAACCACCTACCTTATGGAAAGTGCCACCTTCCAGCTGCCCCCAGTCCCTTCCGTCGCAGGAGGTGACACTCACAGTCTCCCTGATTTCTTTGGGAATGTAGCTATGGAGAACCTGGTGCAGCCTCTTTGTCCGGGAGATGGAGACGTCGTTGGCTGCCAGGTGCCCTGCGAGGACAGAACAGGCACACCGGGAATGTCATTCTTGCAAAACCACACCTGATTCCCAGCTCTCAGAAATAATTAATGGTGAGACATTAACGGGCACAGCACACTCTGACAGCCCTGTTCTATGCAAGGGGCCGAACACCCACCTCCACTTACCACAAACCCCAGTCTGCAGCAGAGCCAGAGTCTTGCCCCCCGGAGCCGCACAGAGGTCGAGGACAAAGTCATCCGGTTGCACGTTGAGTGCCAGGACGGGCAGGAGAGATGCTGCATCCATGAGATAATAACCAAGGAGCCCCAGAGTGTCCGGCCTGGAAATCACCAGTTTACATAAAAAAAGCAAACGTGTGATGGGAAAAGAAAAAAGCAGTTGGCAGTGAGGATGGGGACGTACAGAAGCAGCGGGTGCTCCCACACACGCGGCCCCCAGGCTGGCGATGCCAGCGGGCAGGCTGTCCCAGCAATGTCTCACCGTGCAGGGCGAAAGCGCGAGATGTCACCCCTGGGGAAGGTGTAACACTTGATGTTGGAGCTGATGGAGGCATGAAGTGGTGGTGACGTCTCTGCCTGCATCACCGTCCTGTCCTCACCAGACCCCTCTTGGGACACGCTTTCCTCTGTCATCGTTTTCTCTGCAGCTGCACCCCGCTGCAATTGCTGTGCCTTTTGGGGGGCTTTGGAAATGAAATCGGTGGCATTCAGCAGCTCCAGCTCTTGGGTGACATGGTCAACAGGAGAGAAGTTGTTGAGGAGGGCACCGTACTTCTGCTCACAGAGCAGCCCAGCTCGGACAGAGGGCCACAGGTCCTTCAGCTGCAGGCTGTAGCTCTCGTCGAAGTGGTGCAGCGCCAGCCGTGTGGGTGGGATGCGGGGGGCCGTGGCAGCCTGGGGGGAAAAAGAGATCAGAGACGTTAAAAGACAAAATCCTCCCAACCCCAGCGCCTCCCCCAGCCTCAAGGTGTTTCCAGCAGAATCCAGCGCTGGGTTCTGTGCTGCTAAAAGTCCCTGGAGTCTTTCTGCAGCCCCTGAAAGTGGCTGCGCCCCCGACACCCATAGGCTGGTGGTCCCCAGGGAGGGTTCAGGACTGGGAATAGCTGCGTGTGGCTGGGGGCGCGGGGTGGGTGCGCAAGGAGGGCAATGGTGCAATGGGCGAGGGGGTGCAACAAGAGGTGCAATGGGGTGAAACGGGGAGAAAAGAGAGGTGCAGCAGGGTACACAGCAACATAACGGGGGTACAATGGGGGCAAAGGGTCCAGCGAGGGGTGGAACAGGGACGAGAAGAAGCGTAAGGCAGGTGGGGTGGGGACAGGAGGAATAGGAAGGGGCGCAGCAGAAGCGTAACT